TAAAATATAATACTTTTAGACTATTCTCTCCCCCATAGACTTCAATGCCGTAAACATATTTCATCCAGTTTTTCTCAGTCTTACCCCACCCCAATGCCAGCCTCATTCTACAACAGTGGCACCATATAGCATTTGTCCCTTTGTGACTGAGATACCTGACTCAGCATAATGCCAAAGTTTTGAAAGAATGAAAGGTTTTGTGTAAGAGTATTCTCAAGTCAATTCTGATTTATAGCCACTCTACAGGATAGAAGAAAACTACTCTATAGAGTTTCTTAGGTTATAGTTTTTATGGGACCGGATTAGAGTCAGGGATCTCTCCAAATTACTTAAGAGCAATGATGTTATTTAGAAGACTAAGGTGCACCTGATTCAGACCATAACATTTTTGATCACATGCTATGCTGCTGAGATCTGGACAATGAAAAATGATGAATAATGATGACAAAAGAAAAATTGATGCCTTTGACCTCTGGTGTTAGAAAAGAGTGCTGATAATACCACAAACTGCCAAAAGAACAAACAGATATATCTTGAAGAAGGTAAAGCCAGATTGTTCCTTGGATGCAAAGATTATAAAGCTTTGTCTTGCATTCTTTTGGCATGTTAAGAGAGGCTATTGCTTGGAGAAAAACATAATATTTGGAAAGGTGGAGCAATAACAAAGGAGAGGAAGACTCTCAACCAGGTGGACTGGCACAGTGGCTGCAGCAAAAGGTTTGAATGTGTCAGAGGTGGTGAGGTTGGCACAGATTAGGACAGGGTTCAAATATATTGCTCAGAGTCAATAAGTGTTATACTTGACGACACCTAACAACAGCAACAACAATCTTTATGCTGGCAAATTTCCTGGTCTTTTCTCCTGAGGAGCTGGTGATGAGCTTGAACTGCTGGTTTTACTGAACTGAACAACTTGGTGTTGCTCTTATGTTGCACACGATTCCATAGTCTTGCCAAATAACATAATGGTTACCCATTATGTACAGTGTTTGGATGAGCTTCCAGATTGATTTATGCTGGGCAGCAAGAGTGGCATCCACTTCCTAAATGAGATACATCTGCAAATTCTACAAACTCTCTAAACTCTCTTAAGTGTAAAGAAATGATGGTAGTTATAGAACAGAGTTATGTACAGAAATGATGTTAGTCATAGAATAGAGTTTAGGTCTTGTGCAAAACTTACTCTCCATCACATTTGACTTGACAACATTTAAGCACTACTAAGTGAAACTAGTGCTGTTCTATCTGGAGGAGCACTCTTCCACTTTGTGCATCACTCTTTGTCACTGTGCTGTATGAAGTAACATGGGGTGCTGTGATGCTCAACCTTGTACCACTGGGGTATCAAATACCAGAACAGCTTCCAAATGTGGACAGTGTTTGGTGGAGCTCCCAGCTGTAAAACAGATTTGGAAGCAGAAGTGGCATCCACTTCCTAAACCACATGCCTCTGCAAAGTCTATGAACCTGGAGAAATGATGACAGTTACGGAAAGGCATTAGGTCTTTTGTTCATAGAGTTGCTATGAGTCGCGCTCGACTCGATGGCCATAAAAAAAATGACAAACAGCCTTGTGCTTAACAACTGCACTATGAAGGCGCCTCTAAAAGATGAGTAAGTAATAAAAATGCTACTAAACAGTAGTATTTCTCCTGAAAAAGGAAGCTTGCCTGATTCCCAGCCCCATTTCTGGGAAAAATGCCATGTCACTGTTCCCTGCTGAGAAAAGGGGCCGCAGCAATTTCTAACTCCTAGAAAGCCTAGAAAGCTCTGCTTACACTTGCCCTCAGGGTCCCGTTTCTTGATCAGGAGGGAAATTTCATCAAGTCTGGGAGCTTCAAGATGGCCTGACTTGAAACAAGCACATGAATTCACCAAATCCCAGTAGGTTCTCTCATGTGCTAGGGACACACGTTAAGTAGAATCACTGGTTAATAGAAGAGGCACCTAAAACATGCACAATTTTTTTTAAGTGGCTGATATAAGAGGGATTACAGAAATAGAAATGACAGGATGTGGTGACTGACTAGATGTGTAATCTGAGGAGTGAAAGGAATAAAGACAACTGCCCACTTTGGGGTTTGAATGACTGAGGGAACAGCATGAACTAAAATGATGTCATGAGGAGGGGTAGGAAAAGAATTAAAGCCAATTTGGAGTAAACTGAAGTTGCGTAGAGAGGTCAAATTCCTGATAAAGAGATTTAGAGTCAGCCGGATGCCTGTGTAGGTTCTGAGAGATTGTCAAGGCTGACAATCCTATTGTTTTGGGGTATTTCCCAGAGGAATGAGCTTTGCTCTTGTCAGAGTGAATATAATGAAGGCCTTAGTGAGACAGCCAATCAAGAAGAGATGATTAAGAGAAAAGACTAGGAAATTGCTCTATTTAATGACTAAAGAGGAATCAGTGAAGACACACTTATTGTTGACAAAGAAAGAAGTTTGCACTGTCATGGCAACTGCAGTTGGAACACAAGTGTGTGTCCTTTGTCAAATGTTCAGAGACTCCAAAGAGGAGGAGGCTTAAGACAGGACCATAGAGTTAAGTGATTAAGATTTAACATTAAGATTTAGAAGATTAAATTACAATTTAGAAGGTTTCAGCTATCTTCAACAGAACATTATAACTGGCATTGCTAATCTGTATCAAGGAAGTGTATAATCTAGACATGTTCTTCAAATAATTATGATAGTGTAATGAAGGAATGTACACACATAAAAGCAAGATTCTACTGAAGATTATCCAAAAACGACTGTAACAGCACATCAGTAGAGAACTGCCGGGAAGTCCAGGCTGAGCTTTGAAAGGCGTTGTGGTACTAGTGATATTTTAGCTAATGTTAGTAGATCTTAGCTGAAAGCAGGGAATACCAGAGGAATGTCTATCTGTGTTTCATTGATTATGCAAAGGTGTTTGACTGTGTGGATCACAAAAAACTGTGGCTGACTCTGAGAAGAATGGGAATCCCAGAACACTTGATCAGGCTAATGCAAAACCTATACTTGGACTAAGAGGCAGTAATCAGAACAGAGCAAGGAAGCACTGTGTGGTTCAAAACCAGGAAAAGATTGCATCAGGGATGTATCCTGTCTCCATACCTTTTCAACCTGCTTGCAGAACAGATTAATCGGGAGGCTGGGCTCTATGAGGAGAAGTGTGGTGTCAGGATTGGTGGAAGATTCACCAATAATCTGCGTTATGCAGATGACACAACCCTGCTTGCTAAAACTAAGGAGGACCTGAAGCGCTTGCTACAGAGGGTCAAGAACGGCAGCCTCCAATATGGATTGAGGCTTAATGTCAAGAAGACAAAGATTCTCACCACTGGGCCAACTGGCAGCATCAGGATGCATGGTGAAGAGATTGAGATTGTTCACAGTTTTAGTTTGCTTGACTCCACAGTCAACACTCTTGGCACCAGTAGCCAGGAAATTAAAAGATGTATTGCCATGGGAAAGTCTGCTATTAGGGACCTCTCCAAAGTACTGAAGAGCAATGGTGTCTCTCTGGAGACTAAGATGTGTCTGATACAGGCCATGGTCTTTGCTATCACTTGTTATGCATCAGAGTTGGACAGTGACTAGCGAGGGTAGAAGGAAAATTGATGCCTTTGAGCTGTGGTGCTGGAGAAGAGTATTGAGGGACTCAATTGCATGGACTGTTAGGAAAACAGATTCATCCTGGAAAAGGTTAAAACGGGCCAGCTCTGTCTAACATACTTTAGACATGTTGTAAGGAGGGACTGGTCCTTGGAGAGGGACATCATGCTTGGTAGGGTGGAGGGACAGTGCAGAAGGGGAAGGTTTGAATGGCACAGGACAGAGCAGGGCTTGTTGTTGTTTGTTCTTATGTGCTGTCAAGTCGTTTGCGACTCACAGCGACCCTGTCCTTCTCCAAGGACTGGTCACTCCTTACAACGTGTCCAAAGTATGTTAGACGGAGGCTCAGAATCCTTGCCTCCAAGGAGCCACCCGGTTTAGTTATACATATGGTCGTTATGAGTCGCAAACGACTTGATGCACATAACAATAGAAACAATAACATATTTAGGAGAGGTCAGTTTTGATCTCATTTAACTTTTAATAGTAAGAGAATGATCAGAATTTTTTAAAAGTTTAAAGTAGAATGAAGATGAAGATAGAGCTGAGAAAATAGAGAAACTAGATCAAAAATCACAGGAAGATTATTTAGTTGTAAAATTCAACCTTCTCCTTCCCACTGCACTCACTGAACTGAAGACCATAATAACTATAATGATTTCATCCAATTCACTTTAGACTTACATGATTCATGTTATGGTACAACAGTCCTTGTTAATTTGAATGAAGTACTTCATTAGCACATGTTTGTAGCCATGATAGATATTAAAATATCATTATCTATTGTTCTTTTCCTACTACGTGAGCAAGTGCCTCACTTTGCTACTTAATGTTAAATCAGGAAAATCATGTAATATCATAGAAAATTCTAGAAATCAAAGATTTTTAATTACATGTCCAAATTGCCACCTCAAAAAGTTCATGTCATACAATGTTTGATTTTCCTTCAGTCTTTGTTGTGAGTTAAGTGTGAATATCAGAAATTTTTTTTGCATTTTTTTCTCCTTTTACTTAAAGATAAATATTTCTGGTGGTTAGGACACAATCCTAACCCTAGCCCTAACCTGAAGGCTGAATCCACCAGCCACCCCAAGAAGAAGGATGAACACTTTCCTTCTGTAAAAATTTATTGCTTCATAAACTTACATGCTGAAATGGCTTTATGAATCAGATTTGACACCAATGGATCTTACTGAAAAACAGGGCTATATTAGCATCACAACTTACCTTGCATACTGAATTGCTTTGAATGTATTTGTTAGGTCTCCACCATTCTGGAATGTCTTAGATGTTGCTTCAATCATTTCAGCTTTCGTTTTATAAGTATTCAGATTAAACACAACTCTTGGACTGTTGCCATACTGAATTAACCCCACCTTCAAAAATGCAGAAGTTTATTACTGGGATGTCATTAGTTAAAAATAATTTCTGTTTAACCAATATAATAAAAATCAAAAGCATACAGCACTGCTAGATTTAAAGAATCTCTTTCAACATTATTCTTAATAGCTATTTTTGTTTTCAGTGGAATGGTTTCTTCTCACAAGCCTTAGAGTAGAAGAACAGTACTTAATGTCAAGCAAGATAGTGCTGCCATTTATACTTTGGTTCTCAGGTTTAATAATATTAGACTTTCAAGAACTTCCCTACTATGTTTCAATATACATTAACATTGAAACACATTTCATAACAGGAAGATTAAAATAATATAAATAAAAATATTTTTGTAAAATGGTACAACCACCCTGGAAGGCAATTTGGTATTTTCTTAAGAAAGATAAACATAGAAATTCCATATGGCTCAGCTATTCCACTGCTAGAAATATAAATTAGAACATGCACACAAATGGAAATTCATAAACCAATGTTCACAGCAGCATTCTTCACAATTGCAAGAACATGTAAACAGCCCACATACCCAACCACAATAGACTGAGAAATTATAGTACATTCACACAACGGAATGCTGCACAGCAATCAGGAGCAAAGATTTTGAAAATTACTATCGACTTGGGAGAAACTGCTATGCTCAGCATTATGCTAAGTGTACTAACTCAGTCTAATAAGGACAAATACTGCATAAGATCATTATTATAAAAATAAAAGGACAACTAGTAAAATATGTATTAGGATTTAAGGTGAGGATTTAAAGGGGGGGATGATGGGAGAAGAGGGGTAGGGATGAACGGGGGGACATCATAGGGCTGCACAACCCTATTGGTGGGTGAAAGGTGGCAGTAAAGGATGTTGGAAAGATTCAACAGGGACCTGAAAAAATGGAGTAATGGTGTACATAGTTCAATAGTGATTAATTCTATAAAACACAATGAATGGTAATTATTGTATGCAACACAATGTGAATGAAGGATAGTGTGAAGCAATGTATTACAAATTTTGTATGCAAACCAACATAAAATAAAAATTTAAAAATATATATAAACCAAAGCTCTCATAAGTGAATATAAGTGTATGAAGAGCTTTCGTAGCCTACTTTGTAGTGAGTTGTATTACTATTCCACAGGTGTAATGATCTAAAGGTCCAAATTCAGCAGTTCTGTAGAAGGAAGATGGGTTGTCTCCTCTGGTAGGATTTACAGCCCCTCAAAACCCACCAGAAGGTCAGCTATGAGTCTGTACCAACTCAATGGCAATGAGTGAGAGAAGAGAGAGATACATCTATAAACTATTTCAATTAGTCATAGATGGGAGGTAAGAAGAGTAATTACATAATGACCAAAGCATTAGAATGGAGTGTAAGAAAAGTCAACGTGCATTTAAAAAGGCATCAAACTTAGATTTGTCATTCAGGATTCCCTCTGTTTATGGATTTTTATCTGGAGGAAAGCTACTATCACACTGCATGTAGAATAGAGAGTTCCTAGTCTCCTATGAATTTGCTTCAGATCAAGTCTTATTTGAGCTACAGAATGACTTCTCATCAAGATGCTTGAAGACAATGTATAATCCTTTTAGCTAAAGGAGGGGAGCCTTACATTGCCAAAGACAAAGAAAATGCCATTCAGACAGCCACTCTTTTTATGATCATATACCTTTCTGCTGATATCAGCATTCTCAGGCACTGCAGTCACACTTTCTGGAAGTGATTAGGAAGTGGTAGTAAGAGATGGGTGGAATAAACATCTCCAAAGCAAGGTTTGTTTGACATTAGGTAATATTAAGCAGACTACAACTCCAAGGGACCCTCTGTACAACATATCTAAATCTTATCTGACCCTACACCATCCTCAAAATTTCCACTACGCTCAAGCCCAAAGCTGCAGTTACTCTGTAAATCCATAACACTGAGGGTCGTCTTCTATTTTTACTAAACAGGGTTAAGTGGGTAAGAAAAACGGAAAGCGTAAAGTCTGGATTTCTGAGTTCAATTGGTTATTTCTTTTTCCAAAGGTAGGCAGTTAGCTAGTCACTGTGAAGATGGCAGAAAACTTTGCTGGATGTTTCGGGTTAGAATAGATTTACGACTTGAGAAAGAGGAAAAGGTGAAATATAGATATTTTAAAGTTCAGTATGACAGGAAGAAGGTAGTAATTCACATGGCAGAGTGTCTATGTCAGACTTTTGTGAGAAAAAGAGGAACTGATAAATAGATGATTCAAAAAAATTTGGTATGATGAGAAACAACAAGAGGTTAAACTGAGGTTATAAGAAGAACTCTGGATTAAAAAAAAGAAAGAACTCTGAATTCAGTCATTTGTAGGGAGGAATGAAACGTATTATGATAGGATGACACAGAAGAGAGGATATGAATTCCATATGTGAGAATAATAATTCAAATAAGTCATGTTATGGACACAGACCATGTAAAGAGACCAAGTATACATGTGGACATCTCTATTGAGTGGGTTTTAAGAGTATGCTCTTCAGAAACCAGGGCTATGTCCAGTTTTATAGAATTTTCTGGTAAAAGACCACTAGTAAAAACTTCAGTTGACATTAATTTCCTTAGTACGGAAAAGCAACGCAAAGAGAGAAGAAAAAGGGGGGAGAGCATGTAACAATGTTATATAATAGTATATATATTTAAAAAACCCCAGAAAAGCAAAAGTCAATTGTTGTTGTTGTTGTGTACTGTCGAATTGGAAACGACCCATAGTTGACCCTGTGGCGATGTTCAGAGGCAGTTAACTGCCTGTGAGGAGATAGCTCATGTTTCTCCTACAAACAGCTAGGAACCAAACCGTGTACCTTCAAGATTGCAGCACAACTTCTTGCCACTAGCAACAAAAGCTCCCTAAAGTCAATGTATTGTTGTTATTAGGTGCCACTGAGGAACATACAATTTATAGCAACTCTCTGAACAGAAGATCTAAACCTTGTTCTATGCTGTGCCATCCTCACACTTCCTGATACACAAGAGCCCATTGCAGCAGTCACCATGTCAATCCACCTAGTTGAGTGTCTTCCTCTCCTTTGCCAACCCTCCACCTTTCCCAGCATCATATCCTTCTCCAAGGTATAGCACCTCCTAGGAACATGTCCAAAGTATGTGAGGTGAAGGCCCATCATTCTTGCCTCCAAAGAACATTCTGGATGCATATTTGTTCATTCTCTTGGTTGTGCATGGGATGGTCAGTGCTCTTTTCCAACACCACAGCTCAAAGGTGTCAATTCTTTTTCTGTCATCCTTATTCATTGTCCAGCTCTCAGAGGTCTAGCAAGTAGTTGGAAAGAGTATGGCCTGAATCAGATGAACCTTGGTCCTCAAACTGACATCATTGCTCCTCAATAATTTGGAGAGGTCCCTAACTGCAGATTTTCCCAGTGCACTGTCTCCTTATTTCCTGATTGCTGGTACCCTGGGTGTTAATTGTAGATCCAAGTAAGATGAAACTGTTGACAGTTTCAATCTCCTCTCCATCCATCATGACACTGCCTAATGGTTGAGTGATAAGAATCTTGGCTTTTTTGACATTATGATACAATCCATACTGAAGGCTGCATTCCTTGATCTTCTGCAACAAATACTTCAATATCTCCTTACTTTCATCAAGCAAGGTTGTGTTACCTGCATAAGGCAGGTTATTGATGAAGTCTCCCTTCAATCTCTCTCCCCTTTTTTTTCCCCAAAAAGAGGGGTGTGATGCCACACCCCTCTTCTTAGAGTCCAATTTCTTGAGTAATTTGCTCAGCATACAGACTGAATAGTTATGAAGAGAGAATATGACCCTGATGCATTCCCTTCTTTATTTTAAACCATGCAGTGTTCCCTTTCTCTATTAGCACAACAGCCTCCTGGTCCACGTATATGTTTCACATGAAAACAATTAAGTGCTCTGCGATTCACATTCTTCTCAATGTCATCCACAACTTCTTATGATCCCCACAGTCAAATGCCTTTGCCTAGTCAGCAAAGCACAAATAGATACTTTTCTGTTATTCCTTACTTTCAGCCAGGACACATCTGACATCATCAATAATATCCCTAATGTCATGACATTCTAAATTCTGCTTGAACTTCTGGCAGTTCCTTATCTATATACTGTTCTAGAAGTTTTTTAATGATCTCCAGCAGTATTTTATTTGCATGTTATACTAATAATATTGTTCGATAGTTTCCACATTCAGTTGGATCACCTTTCTTGGAAATGGGAACAAATATGGACCTCTTCCAATTTATTGGCCAGACAGCTGTCCTCCAAATTTTCTGGCATAGACTGATAAGTGCTGTTCAAGGCTGATCTGTTAACTGAAGCAAGTCAATTAGTATCCTACTAATTCCTGGGGCCTTATTTTTAGCCAATGCCTTCAATGCAGCCTCTACTTTCTCCTTCAATACCATAGACTCCTGATCATATGTACTCATATGCAAGTTCAAATTGAAGCTGAAGACAATGAAAATAAACCCACAGAAATCAAGATATTATCTCAAATCAATTATATCTGAATTTCAAGATCATATTAAGAATAGATTTGAGGCACTGAACACCAAAGATTGAAGACCAGAGGAGTTGTGGGAAAATATTAAGGATATCATCTATGAAGAAAGCTAAAGGTCATTACAAAAACAGAAAAGAAAAAAAAATGGATGTCAGAAGAGACTCTAAAGATTGAATTGGAGCACTGAAAAGCCAAAACCAAAAGAAACCATGTAGAAGTGAAAGAACTGAACAGAAGATTTCAAAGGGCCGCTCGGGAGGACAAAGCAAAGTATTAACAATGGACTATGCAGAGAGCTGGATTTGGAGAACAAAAAGGGAAGAAGTCACTCTGAATTTCTCAAGCTGAGAGAACTGAAAAACTAATTAAGCTTCATGTTGCAATAGTGAAAGATGCTATGAGAAATATAAACTGGATGGCCCAGGAAGCATCAAAAGAAGGTGGAGAAACACTGTACCAGAAAGAACTGACTGAAAAATTTCAGGAAGTACCATATTAACAGGAACAAAACAGACAACATAGATAACTTAAAAAGCATTTCACTGAAAATGGTTTTATGATGATCATGACTCCATGGTGGATACTGGAGTTATCAATTGTAACCTAGCAACATAAACTTGAAGATCTGAGTCCTGGTCTCTGTTTATAGTGGTTCAATATGTTGTCACAACCAGAGTGACCTATGAAATAGTGGAACCAACAGTAAAGAAAGAGGAACTAAAATTTTATAATAGATATTATTCCGTTTTCTATGGAAGCATGGAGTGGAGTCTTTTGTTTCTGAGTTGTGGTTGCCTACCTCAAGAAAGTATGAATTCAGATTAAAGACTTGCTAAGATATAAGAACCTATAAAAATTATTAAAAAGACTTACCTATGAGAAAATAAGTGACACTAGAAACAAATGTGATTAAAAATATTAAATGGTAAAGTTATATCCTTCCTATGGACTTAGTTACAAATTTTCTAAAAATTCAAAAATTGAAGAATTACTTTTTTACCAGCAAAAAGTGTTAGTGAAAGGAATTTTTTTTCTCACCATCATTGAGTCAATTCCGACTCACAGTGACCATTCATTGGCATTCTAAGGCTATAAATCTTTATTTTTTTCCCAATAAAATTTTTATTTTATACTAGTTTGCTTACAGAGTTCATATGCATTGATTTTTACACCTGATCTTTCACATTTTTTACCCCTCCCTTTCTTATTTTTTTATTAAATTATCTATTTTTCATTTCAATGAACATCTTCCATTCATTCATTGTTGCAACCTTCTCCACCCCCAGCCCCCCCTCCCCCCGTTAGCTCCTCTCCTTGAAAAGCAAAACTCCCTCATTGGTATACAATCCCCCCTGCAATTCCCCCAACCCCACCCCCAACTCCAAATATAATCCACTCTGCAACCCTCATTCCATACTCTTACAAGAAACATAATACCCTATAATACTTTTAAACTATTCTCTCCCATAGACTTCAATGCCGTAAACATATTTCATCCAGTTACCCCTCCCTTTCTAAGACTGTAAATCTTAATGAGAAGGTACCGCCTGTCTTCCTTCCAAAGAGCTGCTTGTTTTTGTTGTTGGTATGTGCCACCAAGTTGACTGAGACTCATAGCAAACCTATATATAATAGCTCTGAAGCCTGCCCTGTCCTGAGCCAGTTTCATTGATTATGACACAACTACCCCCATTTCCCTAGTTACTGTATCAATTAATCTCATCTGGGGTCTCCTCTCCTGCACTGTCCCTCTACCCTTCTAGGCATGATGTCCTTCTCCAAGGATCAGTCCCTCCTGGCCATGTGGCCAAAGTATGTGAGACAGAGCTTCAAAATCCTTGCCTCCAAGGAGAAACTTGGTTTCACCCTCTCCAAAACAGACTTACTTGTTTTCTTGGTGGTCCATGGTATGTTCAAGACTTTTCTCCAGCACCAGAACTCAATTCTCCTTCTATATTCCTTAGTCATTATCAAGCTCTCTGATGCATAGTAAATAATTGTGAAGATCATGGACTGGATCAGGTGCATCTCAGTCTCTAGACTGACATTGTTACTACTCTGGAAAGGTCCTTGACATATTTACCTAATGCAATTTGTCTTTTGATTTCCTGACTTGTAGTGTCAAGACTGTTGATTGTGGAGCCAAACAAGCTGTAATTGTTAGCAACTTCAATCTCTTCTCCATTCATCATGGTGTTGCTAGCTGGCCCAGTGGTGAGAATCTTTGTCTACTTAATACTGAGCTTCAATCAATATTGAAGACTATAGTCTTTGACCTCCAGCCAGTGCTTCAGGGCCTCCTCAGTTTCAGCAAGCAAGGTTGTATTATCTGCATAACATAGGTTGTTGATGAGTCTTTTCCAGTTCTGATGCCACATTCTTCATATACCCTAGCCTCTCAGATGACCTGTTCTGCATATAAATTGAAAAGGGATGGAGACAGGATGCATCCCTGACACTCTCCTTTCCTTATTTTGAACCATGTAGTGTTTCCCTGCTCTGTTCTGAGGTCTCCTTCCTGGTCCAACTATAGGTTTCGCATAAACACAATCAAGTGTTCCGGGATTTCCATTCTCCTCAAGGTTAACCACAATTTGTTGTGATAAACACAGTCAAATGCCTTTGCATATTTAGTGAAATACAGATAGATATCTCTCTGGTGCTCCTTGCTTTTGGCCAAGATCCATCTGACATTGGCGATAATGTTTCTAGTTCCATGGTCTCTTCTAAACCTAGCTTATACTTCTGATAGTTCTCTGTCAATGTACTGTTCCAGTCATTTCTGGATAACCTTCAGAAGGATTTTGTTTTCGTGTGATGTTGTACAATAATTTCCATACTCAGTCAGGTCACTTTCTTTTTTTTTTAGAATGGGAATAAATTATCAATCTCTTCCAGTCAGTTGGCCAGGGAGTTGTCCTCCAGATCTCTTGGCACAACCTGGTGAGTACGTACAGGGCATATTATTGAAATATGTCAATCTGTATTCCATCATTTCCTGGGGCTTTACTTTTTGCCATGTCCTTCAGAGCAGCCTGAACTTCCTCCTTCATCACCATTGCCTCTTGATCATCTGTTGTTAACCCACTGGAGTTGTTCAATCTTTTAGTTAGCAATGCAACAGACTATGGACTATGATACCAAAAGTTCAAGTAGACATAAAGGGGAAAATAAACGCTTAAACTTTAAGGTGCATTGATAATTTCATAGGCTCTAGGGAGTAAATCAGCAACTGAAAGTATGATGTGTCATTACGCTTTCCCCTTGGTATCAGAGTCAGAAATAGAAATCTAAGCTGAAACAACCAGAATTTAAACAAAGTTAAGTGTGAAAGAGTTAAGTGTTAATACATAATATTTCAATTGACATTTGAGTTTATTTTCAATGCAATCACCTTTGGGATTTGACATGAGCAAAAATTAAGACTTCATAATGTAACAATAATTTCTCAGGAAGAAAGCTGTGAATTAGTAGATACATGATTGCAGTCCATACCTGGGTCTTTTTGGGGCCTATATCCAAGCCTTGAACAAATTTTTCCAAAAAATTCTTCACTGCTACCCATGGATAAATGCTATTTGATTCATCACATACAACCACAACATCTATGAGGGAAGGACAAGCTACACATACAAAAAAACAAAGAAACAGATTTCTATCAGTAAATGCAACTTTAAATGAAATGAAACAAATTGTTAAAGTTAATTGCAACTCATAGTGACACCATGCATGTCCAAGTAGATATGCACTCTAAATGATTTTCAATAACTAGCATTTCAGAAGTACATCACCAGCCCTTTCTTCTGAGACATCTCTAGCCGGACACTATGTGCTAATCTTTCAGTTAGCAGCTGTCCTTTGAGTAACCCTATCCACCAGCCAAGAGTTCAAACTCTCAAATATTATAGCTATATAAACAAAACAAGTAAAAGGGAGTTGAGGGGCTGGGCAGTACTTCTGGTTACTTTCTCTCTGTCCTTGAATTATAAAGCAATACCAGACCCTTGTGTTCATTACTTACTTTGAACTGCAGGTGAAAAGCTGGCCAAGTGCTGAAAATTGGGACTGACCTCGGAACACACGCCGGTGGTGTAATACTGATTTCCACACTGCTGTGCCCACAGGGGACCGCATGTCTTCAAAGAAACAAACACAATAGGAGGCACAATGAAAATATGAAAATAGCAGACATTTTCCTCTCCATGTGTGAAACTGAGAAAATATTTCAAGTTTTTCACAGCATGTTAGGAATTGTCAGTTCTTGAAATTAGCAAGTTAGAACCGTCCTTGAGCAAGTATCTTTGAACCAGTGCAAGTTAGGAAGAAAGTGGCAAAAATGTGGTATCTAAAGCAGGCCTCCTGGCAGGAGGGCCATCAGGGGTCAGCAGGGGACGAACATCAGGCCACCCACAGAGAAAGGGAAAAGGGATGCTTCCTTTGTTAGAGAACCCAGGAGGAAAACAAGCACAGAGTTCATGCCTTCTGTTTCAGTTACCTGAGTCTCAGGTGCTTCGCCTGTAAAATTAGTGCATACTTCCCACTTTTTCAGCTGATTATGACGATTAAATGGTTACCCAGATGCAAAATGCTTATGCAACACCAGGTAAATAATACCAAAGCCAGCCTAAACTCACCACCATAGAATCACTCCAACTCATGGCAACCTTACAGAAAAGAATAGATGTGTCCCACAGGGTGTCTGAGATTATATATCTTGATGAAAACAGACTGTCCCATTTTTCTCCTGTAGAGCATCTACTAGCTTGGAACCGCTAACCTTTCAGTCCATAGCCAAATGTTTAACCACTGCACCACCAGGATTTACTGAGTAAATAATATTCCCTGGAGGTGCCGTCCAAAGCTTGTGCTGCTAAGCCAAAGGCCAAGTATCCAGCACTTTGTATCCATCAACTACTTCACAGGAAAGATATGTGCAGTCTCCTCTCATGAAGGGTTACAGCCTCTGAAACCCAACGGACGGTGGCCATGAGTTGGGACCCATCATGGCCATGAGTTTTTGAGTGATAATTGTTGGCATCATTATCATTAGGGAGCTCTGCAGCCTGTAGGGAGTGGTGCTGCTCTCACAAGGGCCAGATCTCTCTGGCAGTGTGAATCCACCAGCGACTCTATTGGAGAAAGTTAGCCAATCTCCTCCCAGGTGACTTAAAGACTCCAAAAGCCTGTGAAGTGCCAGCTTTCAGCTGGTTCCAACTTGATGGCAATGAAAGCAGAAGAAAGATCCTCTGCTGTCTTTCATGATTATTACTGTTCTTCACAATAGGTCTTCTGCTATGCCTTCCATTCATGTCATGTGGGAGAAATGACAAAATAAGTGTCTCTGGTACTAGATATAGACAACATGGTGAAGAATACATGTCTTCTATGAAGAATAAATAGAGCAGTGAGGGTCCCACCTTTCCAGCAGTGTGAAGTAGGTCCTATTCTGCTGGATCTTCTAATTTTTAAAGAACAGTCAGAGATAACATAGGAAATTAAAAATTTAATAAAAATTCAAAATTTGGCAAAAAAAAATTTCAAGCATCCACCAATACTATATTGGCTAAGCAAGATCAGATGCAGTTCATGGACTTTCAGTTTTCAACTCTGTTATAAGGAATTTTTTTTTTTTTTCCATTTTGAGGACCTCCAACCCGTTTTAAGAAAATGTCATCAATTCTGACTCATAGTGACACTATAAATGTCAAAGAAAGATTGTAATTTAAAATGTTATTAAAGTAAAATAAAAAGACATACTGTGCTCCACAAGGTTTTCAATGGCTTATTGTTTTAGAAATAAGACTGTCAGATCTTTTCTCTCAAGTGCCTCTGAATGGATTTGAACCCCCAACCTTTCAGTTATCATCTGTGCATGTTAACCATGTGAGCAGCAGCCAGAGGGGTTCACTAAAGACCTCAAAGTCCCCTTATATTTACTTCCTAAAACCAAGTGTCTCCAAGGCTACTGGCACCTGTCTCCTTGCCCACACCATGTATGTTCGGATTCTTAATATTCTCACTCCTCTAATCCCAGTACTCTCCTTTCAAAACAAGAATTTCAGGAAGTCCTAACTAAATCACACCTAAATCCATGTAAAATGTGATAAACACAATATTAAATAATATTCAAACCACTAGGCATACAAAAATAGGAAAGAGAAGTCTAGACAAGAGCTCCTCAAATGTACAGTTAACAAGATAGAAAGCTGCAGGTAAATTATAAAATGGTATAGACTTATAAGAAACAAATGGAAGAAGAAGGTGTGTGTGTGGGGGGGGAGAACAGCCCACACTGTTTGACCCAGTTTGACTGTTAGTAGCTCAAGGAAAAACAGCTATTCTCCTATTTTATCCTCAATGGCAAGACATAGTTTTTCTTCCCATAAAACTAGTTCATTTTGCCAAGTAGTTAGGGAAAAATAGTTATTGGTGGCATTGGACAGTGTACTAAATGACAGCTATCAATTATGAATTCTCATAATCCCCATGCTGTGTATTGTTGGTTTTTATCATTGTGAAGAATGTTAACTTATAAAATTACTAAGCAATGAAAAAACATCATCAAGAAGTTGAAATTAGGATACGCCAATTATCAATGCCAGAACTACATTCCTGTTTTAAGCCCAGAACTCAAGAAGGTTTAAAAAAAAAATGTGATGATTGTTCGCCTTTTCCACATACTTCTTAAGATTTTGAGCTTTTGGTATGAAAAGGCAACACTGGGCTGAATTTTTTTCCTCTTCTTTATTTTTCTCTGCTCTCTTTGCAACTCCTTTGTTAGTTTCAATGACTGTGAAATTGGTCTCTTTATTTCCATTGCAATTATATTTTACTTTATCCAGAGTTGAGAATTAATATTTTTTAAAGATTTTAAATTTTAAAGCATATTCTGCAATCCTCAAATTTCAATATGTTCTTGTGTAAAAATTTAATCAACTCTGAAAACAAACAGGGGAACAAATAATAACAATCTTATTAATAAAAGTTTTAGACTATAACCCATGAAATTTCACTGCAATATTTATTTATTCACTAATAAAATACAAGGAAAGATGGAGGGTTCGAGAAAGAGAGGAGGATCCTTCCTCAACGAGATAGAATTACACAGTAAATATAAAAGTGGGGTTGAGTATTTCAGAGATTGTAAAGATGGAACAGGATAGGACAAGGCTCAGATCTGTTCTATTGTTTATAGGGTCACTACGAGTTCAGTGTTGGTTTTTAAATTCATGGGAGATAGACTCAATGTCAAATTTTGATTCCTGTGGATATGATTTAACCCTCTTTCATTTTAATTTGAACTTGCATATGAGCAGTTGCTGGTCTGTTCCACAATCAGCACCTGGCATGGTTTTCACTGCTGATATTGAACTTCTCCAAGGCTTCCTTCCACAGATGAAATTGATTTAATTCCTGTGCATACCATCAGGTGAAATCCAGTTGTAGAGCCTGCATTTATGTTTCTTATAAAATGTATTTGCTATGAATAAATCATTGATTGTACAGAATTCTATCACTCTATCCTCAGCCTCATTTCTGTTACCAAGTCCATATTTTCCAACTACTGATCCTTCTTCCTGGGTTTCCAACTTTGCATTCCAGTCACCCATCATTATTAATGCATCTTGGTTATGTATTTGATCAATTTCTGACATCAACAGTTAATAGAAATCCTCTATTTCTTCCTCTTTGGCTCTGGTTGTAGGTACATAAATTTGAATGACAGTGGTATTAACAGGTATTCCTTGTAAGTGTGGGGATATTATCCTGTCACTCACAATATTGTATTTCACAATAGATCCACAAATGTTCTTTTGAATGATGAAAGTGAACCCATTTTCTTTCACCTTTTCATCTCCAGCATAATAGTTTATATGATTGTAGGATTCAAAATATCCCATGCCAATTTATCTCATTTTGCTAATACCCAATATGTCCATATTTATGTGCTACATTTCTTTCTTTACAATGTCTAGTTTTCCTATATTCATCCTTCTCACATTCCACATACCAATTGTTAATTTCTTCTTACAACTGTTTCTTCTCCTTTGTGTTTCCAAATTTGAGGGCTCAGCTTCAGTTGCCATATCTATTAGTCTACTCTGTGTGCTCTGCTGTATATAGGGTTTTCAAAGGCCAGTTATATTTCGGAAGTGGATGGCCAATCCTTCTTCTTAGTCTGTCTTAACGTGGCTATTTAGTGCTAGAACACTATCTGGCAGACAAGCATTTTTACCTAGCAGACGAAAGCCAATACATTCACTGTTCTCCAACCCCAAGCACATGTGACTTGTCTCTTCCCTGCTATAACCCCACTCCCTGCACATCAGGTTACTTGGTCAAACCCTCCTGTTCTCACTCACCCATGAATTTAAAAACCAACTCAGGAATAGGTTTGAGGCCTTGAACACTAATGAGCAAAGACCAGATAATCTATATGACAATATCAAGAATATCATTCTAGAAGAATGCAAAAGTCATTACAAAGAAGGAAGAAGAAAAAAAAGACCAAAATGGATGTCAGAAGGGACTCTGAATATTGCACTAGAGCGCTGAGAAGACAAAGCAAAGGGAAGAAATCAAGAATTAAGGAGCTGAAGAGAAGATTTCAAAGGGCTGCTCGGGAACACAGGCAAAATATTGCAATGGAGTCGGAAAATAAAAATGGCCGAACTTAGTATTTCTTTCTTTCTTTTTTTTTTTTTTAAGAGGCTCAACTATGTCATTTATTGTTCTTAAGTCCTGGAGTAAATTCCATCTACCACTGGGTTGTTTTACAGCTCGGAAGTCCACATGCAAGGCAGAGGTGAAGTAAGGAACTGCTTATGAGGTTTTCCATCAATTCCAACAACTAAGAAATAGTGAGAAGAGTTGTGACCTCAGAAGGCTTT